TCTTTGCACGGGGTTACCGTCACCTAGACTATGGGGGTGTGTTAACATATATTTTATATGTGTTGTTTAGGTTAGTCTCGGTGTTACATTTCTACTTCCTTGCATGATTAGGGTTTGCTATATCTAGGGCTGTACTTCACATTTTCCTATCAATTCATTCTTATCGTAACAGAATCATGGGAGCACCCAGACGGACGACCATGGGTTCGCCGCAGCCCTCATCCCCGCGAGATCAACCTGCATGAGCCAGACATCCATGGTCTCTGCACCACCTGTCACACACCTACGGCGAGCCGCACAGAGCAAGTCGAAAGGGAGTACGCGGCGATCCAGGAGGCGGAGAGTGCCGAGGCAGAACCAACAGGCATGACTGAACAAGAACTCGCTGTGTCATCTTACCGCATCTTCGGCGAACCGAAAGATGACTTCGGACATCAGCGAGCGGAGCGAACAACACCATACTCGGAAAATCTCCGGTTCGTCCTAGAAGCCAACACCACCACCCTCGACGAAGCTGGACGACCGCGCCCATACACCCGCGAAGTCTACCGCCGTGACATTGATCCGGCATGGAAGGACCCTGGCGCAAAAGGAGAGCTGAGCGTAAAGGAAGAACAAGACAAGGTCCGGGCAGAGAAGAAACAAAAGCTGTTCGAACAGCGCGTTGCGGAAGGATGGGACGAGGAGTCAGCACGCCGAGGCGCATGGGGAGATGAAGATTACGAACCAGAAGAAGGTGCTACCTGGGCATCCGCCACTGGAGCATGGGGAGCCAGCGCCAGCGGCACGGTCACTACGGGAGGATGGGGAACAGTCGAACCCGAGGAAGGGGAGCTCACGTAAGAAGAATTGGAGACCGTTGAACGCGAGATGAGAGACGAACGCGGAGAGAAATCACCCCGCGTCGCCATTCCCCTCGGACGACCCCCACGCACTCGTGAACTTCCTCGCTCACCACATCGATGGAGTGATCCTTGGTCGGAGATTGAGGAGGGGAACATACCACCAACTCCTCCGCGGGACTCACTTGGTCCAATCTCCTGCCCAGATCCGTTCGCTCGTTTCATTGAAGGCACCACGACCCCGCTCACCATCATCCCCGACCGCGAATTTCTCGCCCTCTACCTCACAACGGCACCTGCAGAAGGGGAGACAAAGACAGAAGTAGAAGCAGAGGAGCCGGACAACGAAGCAGAACCAGGAGAAGAGGAAGAACCCCCACTCCAGATCCCGCAACTTACAGAAGCAGAAGTAGAGGAGCACTACGCCCGCTACAAGCGCACCTCCGGCATTTGCGCCGAAGACGACCTCTGGCACCAGCGGCTGGGCCACCCCTCGCGCCAGACCCTCGCCAATTGCCTCCGCGCTAAAGTTTTCCTGCCAGGAGCACTGTTGCGCTTCGACGGAACAGAACCCCACAAAACCGCACACCCAATCACTTGCACTGTCTGCCCCACAGCTGCGCTCTCCCACAGCACCTACCCCTCTCTGGAGCCAAGCACCAACATCTACAAGAAACTGGAGAAAGTATACAGCGACTACATCGTGCTCACCTTCGACGGCATCAATGGCGAGAAATATACCCTCACCTTCATCGACGCCTACTCACGCCACGTGTGGGTCGCCAACGTCGACGCTCGCTCCAAGGCTCCGGAAGTGTTCCGCATCTTCCTCGCGCACGCGCAGCGGCAGTCAGGAAGGAAGCTGAAAATCTGGCAGAGTGATGGGGCCAAGGAATTTCGCAGCAACGAGCTGGAGAGCGTTCTTACCGAGAAGGGGATCAAGCATGAGATTTCCCTCCCCTACGCTCACCAGCAGCAAGGCGTTGCAGAGAGGTTCAATAGCACCCTCATGACAAAAGTTCACGCCCTCATGAACCAGTCCGGCCTGCCAAAGAAGTTTTGGCCCTACGCCATGAACCACGCGGTGCGCCTTCACAACCTTCTCTCCACCACCGCCAACAGGGACAACCTGTCCCCTCACATGAAGTGGACCGGCTCAAGGGGAGATCCCTCCATGTTGAGGGTTTGGGGGTGCATGGTGCAGTACTGGCCGACCTCGGCCACAATCGGCAAGTTCGTTCACCGCGCGCGCTGGGGAATTCACCTGGGGCTCAGTCACGAGCACAAAGGGTGGCTCATTCTTGACATTGACAGCAAGGAGGTTGTTCCCGCGCGTGACATCCTCTTCTACGAGCGGCTCACCTTGAAGCAGTGGATCGAGGATGAGCGACGCAACGAGGCACGCGGCTACGTCAACAGCGGTCGCAGCTTTGCGACTCCAGAAGATGAAGCAGCAGCAGCAGCACTGGACCGCGATGATACTGACGAACACCCCAGCATCCCGCCTTGCCCGCGCGACGACGACGACGATGACAGTGACGATGACCCCGCGCCAGGGCCGTCACGGCGCCACGCAGAGCCAAGCACCACAACGCCCGGCTACGAAAGCGGAGACGACGACGTGGTGGAAGTCACCACCAACACAGACACCACCAATGTGTCAGGACTGCAACTTCTCGGCCTGCACACGTCCATCACTACCCTCGCATGCCGTGGAGCCAAAGAATCCTCGCCAGGCCCTAACCGGCCCTCACGCCAAGGAGTGGCATGCTGCGATGGATGCGGAGCTACATGTGCTGGAGTCTCGAGACACATGGGTCCTAGTCGATCGTGCAACGGTGAAGGGGAGGAGGGTACCTACCGAAAAGTGGGTTTTTTGCCTGAAGACTAATGCTGATGGCACCATCGAGCGATTCAAGGCACGCTGGGTTGTACGTGGGTACGATCAGCGCCATGGCATCAACTTCGACCAGACCTTCGCTCCCGTCAGTCGTCACACCCCTGTCCGGATTCTACTCGCCATTGCCGCCGCTAAGCACCTACCACTGCGACAGATCGACGTGAAGGACGCGTTCTTATACGCGTTGGTGGACGCTACCATCTTCGTGGAGCAGCCTCACACCTACGAAGAAGGGGATCCTAGGGTCTGTCAGCTGAAGAAGTCTCTCTACGGGATCAAGCAGGCGCCTCGCCTCTGGCAGCAACATCTGCACAAGATTCTCCTCGATATCGGTTTCAAGCAGCTGCCGCACGACCCGGGAATGTATCGCCTTCACTTCAGTGGCGACTACATCCTCCTGACAGTTTACGTCGACGACCTGCTGTACACGGGCACCTGTAACAAGCTCCTTAATCAGTTTGAGGAGAACCTGGCGCAGCGCATTGATATCACCATCAACCACAGTGTGAAGCAGTTTCTGGGCCTGAACATCACCTACGCGCTAGAAGCAATTCACCTGTCAACCTCCAAGTACGCAGAGCAGCTAGGGGAACGCTTCAACACTTCACCCGCACCACTCTCAACTCCCTACCGCAACCCCAACGCCAACCACAAACCGGATAACAAACCTCTGTCGCCCGCAGGACTCCAAATGTACCAGCAGAAATTGGGGTGCCTGCTATTCGCCTCTGTCACCTGCCGACCCGACCTTTCGTACATCGCCAGCCAACTGGCGCAGTATTCCTGCAAGCCAGTAGCTGAGAACCAGCTGGACCTGGAGCGCGCCCTGCAGTACTTCATCTCCACACCTGACATTTGGCTCTCCTACTCCACGCTGACGACGACCTCCTTCAACCTCAACGGCTACATGGACGCAGATCATGCAGCTGACCCTGCAAATCGACGGTCCCGAACCGGGTTCGTTTTTCGCCTGGAACCAACTGGGCCAATCTCCTCAAACTTGCAGAAGCAGGAGCTGGTTGCCCTGTCATCGGCTGAGGCAGAATACATCGCCGCGATAGCAGCAGTCCGCGAAGGCCTGTACCTGCAGGAACTACTACAGGAGGCAAAAATCCCAACCTCGCCTACCTTTCGCCTTCACTGCGACAACCAGAGTGCCATCAGGATCGCGAACAAGCCAGGTTTCGTGAACCGCACGAAGCACATCGCACTTCGGTACTTTTTCGTCAAGGACGAAATTGACCAAGGAAAGGTTGACCTCGCCTACTACCCGACTACTGAGATGGCAGCAGACTTCCTCACCAAGCGTCTGCCACATCAGCAGTACAAGCACTGCTCCAACCTCACCGGAGTAGTCAAGCGAGTCAGCTCCTCCTGCGCCCAGGAATGAAGGGGAGTGTTACGATATGAAGTTTTTTATGAGAAGGCATTCCGGTATGCTGCAGGAGCCGACTCTACCGAGTACGAAGTCGAGGAGTCAGAAGAGTCGAAGCGACGCAGCAACCGTCTGACTAAGACCGATGCAGGCAGAAACATTTGAAGTGAAAAGAGCGGGAACAGGTTCAAAACGGGTTCCCGCGCCGCACGGTTTGAATCTCGCTGCAATAAGGGAATGCACCCCTTAGAGTACATGGCTAGTCTAGGTCTTTTCATATTCCCCTGTATTCTTATATAAACCCGATGTATGCATGCTTTTATCATCTCAGTCATTTACATTCACTCTGACCTGAGCTCACCACTTCCGCTGCAACACTACTCTGCGATCAACCCTGAGCGATCCTTCGCTAAGTCCCACTTGGGATTGTAACACACCCGGATGTAAGACCCTAGGGTCTCATGAAAACTACAAGAAAAAGTGATGGGGGGTGTTATCATATGGTACTAAGCTTATAGGACCCGGGTCTTATGATAATGACTTATTTTTTGAAGTTATATTCGAGTGCAATGATTATGAGGATGTGTGCTCCATTTTTTGAGTTCTATGTTAATGGGTAATGACGAGTTACTCGTAACATGGGCATGACACTATGCAATCCATCCGTTGTGGTCCTATTGGACCTAGAGTTTTGATCGTTTAAGGCCTTTTTGTTTAACTATATTCGTATTTGTAGATAGGCTGTAGTGAGTTGCATGCTAAATGGTACAGAAAATCCATCGACACTTCGCTTGTGACCTAAACATCACCATTCTTCCTACTCACCTAAGTTACCTAGATTCTAGGATGATATCAGCAGTAGGTTAATTCAGAGCCTAAGAAAATGCACCTCGCCCCGTTCGTAACGCGCCCCGTCCGTAGCGCGCCTCGTAACGCCCCGTAGCGCACCCTGTCTTAATCAAACGCATGCCTAGCAGCTCCTGCACGTATCCGCGCGCATATAGGCCGCCACGCACTTCCCCGCACCTTATTCGTCCTGTCTCGCGCCCTGTCCTGCCGTGCGCACACAGATGTAGCATGCATAGCCGCGTGCAGCCAGCAGCACGCACAGCCGCGAGAAGGCAGCGCACACACAACAGCAGCCGCGAGCGCGCGTGCCATCGCATGCACACGAGCAGCAGCCGCCGCCACGCACGCAGCAGCCTTCGCCGCGAGCGCAGCAGCCACCACCGCGAGCCACTGCAGCCCCTACCTGCGCCCCGCCCCACCCCGTGCTGCACTCTGCCCTGCCGCCCAAACGCGCAGCCCCACGTACGCCACCGCGCACGAGCAGACGCACGCATCAGCAGCTGTACGCGCACCCGCTGCTGCCTACGCACTAGGAGCCGCGCACAGCAGCAGCAACTGCACGTGCCTTCGCTACGCACTGCTGCCCGTGCTCCTTGACAGGCCCACCCGTTCCCCACGGCACTAGACCGTTCCTGTCCACGGGAGTTGTTGTTGGCCCCGTCCTCGCTTGGGCGGAGCCGACTTCGTGGTTGGGTGTACGGGAGGTGCAGCCGACTTGCAGCAGTGGGCGACGCCGACTTGGCCGAGCTGGTCGACGGGTTTGGTCGACTTGCACGGGGCCACTGCAATGCCGCCGACTTGGGAAGCCGGCGGCCGACTTCAACTAGTGGTCGGCGATGTGGCGCGACGACCTGGAAGTCGGCGCCGACTTGCAAGGTCGCCGACTTGCAAGGTCGCCGACTTGCGAGGTCGCCGACTTGCGAGGTCGCCGACTTGCGAGGTCGCCGACTTGCGAGGTCGCCGACTTGCAAGGTCGCCGACTTGCGAAGTCGGCGCCGACTTGCAAGGTTGCCGACTTGCAAGGTCCCTGACTTGCGAGGTGACCGACTTGCAAGGTCGCCGACTTGTGAGGTCGCCGACTTGCGAGGTCGCCAACTTGGGAGGTCGCCGACTTCAAGAGGTCGGCCTGGAAGTCGGAAACGACGTAGAAGGGGCGTCAACTTGGTGACGCCGACTTCGGGTAGCCGACTTGGGTGGTCGGCTGACAATTGTGCTGGTCGACGTAGAGCTGGTCGACCAAGGGTGTGGTCGACCTGGTGAGGTCGACTCGAGGTGGTCGTCGACTTGGGAGGTCGACGTGCACATACAGGAGCAGCTGGTCGACTTGGTTGCCCGGTCGACCAGGTTACCAGGGTGACGAGGTTCTGCGGAGGAGTGCGACGGTCGCGCAGGCGATGTTGGCGAGACCGACCTCGATGGTGGTATCCCGAGGTCGACGTGGCGGATCAGGTGCAGTCGTCAGCACGAGGACAACTTGATGTGTGCGCTGTGCAGGTGATGAGGCACAGCATGCCAATCATCTACGAGCACCTGCGAAGCTGGTGCGATGCTGTACTGCGGGAGCTACGCTGGCACGCCGTCGACCTGCAGCGTTGGCATGCTGTCGACCTGCAGCGTTGGCACGCCGTCGACTTTGCACTGCTGGAGCGCGGTCGACCAAGTCGTGCTAGAACGCGGTCGACCATGCTGTGCTGGCAGTCGACCGACCTGAATGCTAGCTCTGATGTAGTCTTGTCTTGCCAACTTTATTGGACCATTGTTGTCAACTTTCTCTAGTGAAACTCTTGCCAAATTGCCCCGTGAACTGTTACATAGGATCCGGTCACTTTGAAGACTTACGACGAACTCAAATCTCAACTAAACGCAAATCCGCTCGGTAGGATTGCGCGCGTCAGTCTTAGCTACCATTAGCAAGTTGAATCACTTGATTTCATAATCTAGGGAGTGAGAACGAAGTAAAAATGTATAGCTGCTGCTTTCACTAGAATTGATGGAGGAAGAAAAAACTTTAGGCATAGAATAAGGAGTTGGGGGGTTTCAAGAGAACCTTGTGAGGAAAGGCTCTCCAAGTGCTTGGGAAGGATGGTGGGAACCTTCCTAGCATCAAAGATGCAACCCTCATAATGAGGTCCTTGAGGTGTCACATGTAAAATCCAATCCAATTGGATTTTGCCTAGGTGTTGCAACATTTGCAACCCTTGCTAGAAACTTCTAGCCACCCCAATCCAAAAGTCATAGTTGCCTTCCTAACCACCCAACCAAAGATCCCTTTATAATCATGTCCCAACAATTGCCCAATTAAGTTAATATCCCAAATCAAGATAGAATTCCCAAATCTTGGAAATCTTATAACTTGGGCGATCTTGGTCGGAATAAGGCGATCTTGGTATCGTTGGAAAGCTCTGGATTTCTCCTGCGCGATCAAGCATTTAGACTTGGAGAAAAACACAGAGGTGATAAAATCCAACAGCCATGCATAATGATTTATGCTCATGCAAATGACGCAAGCATGAATTGCACAAGCACACGGCAGGACGTTAGGATGACATGCACGCATACTGACGTGCATACAACAAACTCCCCCTCAGACTAACGGACTGCATGCACACATACTCACACGCATGCAAACTCATCACACAAACAAACACCCATGCTCCTATGACATTGCTGGACACACTAATGCAACGCCATGCCACAAATCTTAGCACACTTTCAATATGCGCTCTCGAGAAGTCTCTTGGTAAGAAAATCAGCTGCCTGCTTGCAGGCCTTCACCCAATGAAGCTCAACAGCCCCCTCCTTCACCATCTGTCTCACCCAGTGCCACTTAACCTTCATGTGCTTGTTCAGCCCATTCGGGATAGGATTAGTGGCCATAACAATAGCACTCTTGCTGTCAGAGAAAAGTGGTGTAGGTCCCTCTTGTTCAGCTCCCATGTCCTCCAGCAGCTTCTTCTGGAGCACAATCTCCTTAATGGCATGATACATTGCCATGTACTCTGCCTCTGCCGAAGACTGAGCAATCTCATTCTACTTCTTGGACCTCCAACTCACTGGTCCTCCTCCGACCATGCACAGACAGCCACCCACGGATGACTGATCCTCATCCTCTGAGGCCCATGTAGCGTCAGTGAAGCATGACAGCTTCAAGGTTCCAGGCATGATCGCATCTGCTCCAGGTTGCTTCAGCTGCCCTCCAGCTGAAAACTGAACACCAGCAGATGCAGTAGATCCGAGGTAGCGCACCATCGCTTTGCCACCTCCAAATGCTCCTCTGTGGGCTGCTGAACAACTCTTGCCAGCTGCCCCACTCCGAACAAAGCATCGGGTCGCGTATGCACAGCTGCATACATCACACTCCTAATGAGTGACTGGTACTCATTCTGCATCTCATCCTCGAGCACATCATCATCCTCAGCTGCCTTCTGTAGCTTGTAGCCTGCAGGAAATGGCGTCATCACAGTGCGACCCCCAGTCATACCATAACGCTCCATCACGCCAGAGATGTAGTGTGACTGATGCATTTTCAGCCACTTCCTCTCAACATCTCGCTCAATCTGCAGCCCAAAGTAGTAATGGACATCCCCAAGCATCTTGCACTTGAAATTGTCCTTCAGCAGCTTATGAGCCCTCTCAATCTGCTCCATGGAAGGTGAGAACAGCTGTATGTCATCGGCATACACAAGCAGCAAGAGCCGCTGCTCCCCCTCGCCGAGCAGAAACAAGCTGTGGTCAGCTTGGGATGTTTTGAAGCCTCCAGTCAGCAGCACTTCCTCGAGCTTCTCGTACCAGCACCTAGGTGCTTGCTTAAGGCCATAGATAGCCTTCTTAAGCTTGCACACCCTGCCAGTACCGTCATCATAGCCGTCAAGCTGCTTCATGTAGATATCCTCCAATAGTAATCCATTTAGGAATGCAGTGGTGATATCCATCTGCTTCACATGCCATCCCTTCACAGCTGTGCCAGCCAGCAAACTCCTCAATGTTACTGGCTTAGCCATAGGAGCAAAGATCGCCTTGAAGTCGATCTTTTCTTTCTGCTGAAACCCTTTGGCAACTAAGCGGCTCTTAAAACGCTCCAGTGCTCCACCAGCATCCGTCTTCACTTTAAAGAACCACTTGCTACTGATGGGCCGTCGCCCTTCGGGTAGCTCAACAAGCTCCCAAGTCCCATTCTCAATGAGACTATTGAACTCCGCATCTATGGCAGCCTTCCATTCTTCCTTCTGAGGTCCATTGAGTGCCTCCTCCAATGTGACTGGTTCTCCACGCAAGGGTGTGAAGAAGCAAAAAGCCATCTCTTGATCATCTCCCTCATCAGCCTGAACAGCCATGGCACCCTGTTTGGGTCCTCCCAAACGGCTGTACTTCAGCCTTGAAGGTGGTGCTGCCACTCTTTTCTCGCGAGTGGCAGTCTGCTGCCCAAGTGGTGAAGCTCTTTTCAGCACACTCCCTTTCGTAACCTTGGCCTGTACAACAGGCTCAGGCTGAGATGGTGAGTCCACACGCACTGACTCATCTTCCAACCCCTCCTCTGCCGCAGGACCAGCAACTTGCTGATCACCACCGCCAATGTGGTCACTGGTCAGCTCTGACCCAGGGAGATCATCGAGGTGCAGTTGAACCTCCTCCATTGCGGATCGCTCTATCTCCTGCAGACGCATGCCGATCTGCACTTGCTGCTGCTGCTGCCAGTCCTTGTACATGACGTCCTCCACAAATTTGATGTCACGACTGACCAGCAACTTCTTGCTCTTGGGGTCCCACATCAGCCACCCCTTCGAGTCAGGCGCCATCCCAAGATGGACAGCCCACACAGCAGCAACTTCGAGCTTGTGCCTCTGGTCCTTAGGCACCATCACAAGACCCATGCAGCCCCACACACGCAGCATGTCAACGGTTGGCTTCTTGCCAAGCCAACGCTCATACGGCACCCAGTGCTTCTCGCCAACATGCGTCAAGACTCAGTTTTTGACCGTAATGACATGGCGGACAGCGTCAGGCCAGAACTTGTAGGGCATTCCAGTAGCCCCCAACAAGGTCTTGGCAGCCTCGCCAATGGTCCGGTTGGCACGCTCGGCAATGACGTTTTGCTGTGGTGTTCCAGGGCAGATCAGCTGGTGTCGGATGCCGTTCCTTTTGAGGAAATTGGTGAAATCAGTTCCAAGGAACTCACCACCACGGTCACTCCAAAGCACCTTCACCAGTCTCATGGACTGCCGCTCTACCATTGGCAGCCAATCCTCTTTGATTGCTGCATCGGCATCACTCTTTTTGGACAAGGGACGTGCCCATGTGAATCGACTCCATTCGTCCACCATGGTGAGGAAGTACAATGCTCCCCCAGTCCCCTCAGTCCGCATAGGACCTACAAGGTCCATGTGCACCACCTCCAATGGTGCCTTCGCTGATCCCTCCGCACGTGGGAATGGGAATCGCACGAGCTTGTTCTGCATGCATGCCTCGCAGCCGCCAAAGGCAGCGCCATCACCATGCACTTGCAGACCGTGTACGCACTTCTCCTTGTGCATCAACTCCAAGGTGGAGAGAGCTACATGTGCAAGTCGCCGATGCCAAGTCTCCCAATCAGCTTGGCCCGAGGTAGCTGACACCTTCACGGCTGCG